AAAAAAAAAACAAAAAAAAAAAAAAAAAAAAAAAAGAGATAAAATACAGTGAAAAAATAAATCAATTTAAAACTGAAATAAAAAAATAAAATCTAATATAAATATATAATTGTTTTATAATACAAATGTTGAAAGCAAAAATAATAACATAACTAAAATAAAAATAAAAAACGAAACATTTAAAAAAAGTTTAACATAATAATATTTAACATTTTTTAAAGTCAACTCAAAATATAAATAAATACTATAATAACAAAGAATACAAAAATATCAGGAAATGCAAGCAGTCAAGGACAAACAGTCCCTGAGGTTGGGCTTTGAAGAGAACAGCGCTGACATTTCCACTGACATTGTTAAAATACAACGTAAACGGCACAGAAATAACGGCTGCGTTCCGAATGAAATACATGCTTAGTATGCTTAGTACTTACTGAATAATACACAGTATATACTGTATACAGATTTTTATTGTTTCAAAAAATAGCAAGTGAAATAATAGCATGCCACATTGTCATCAGCAGTGTTGTTATCGTTACCTAAAACTAAAAGTATTCCGCGTATGGGTCACCATACTTGGCCACATGTCACGTCACGTCACGTCACATCACGTCACTTTTTTAAAATTATTTAACTAATAATGTGTTTGATTTCCTTTAAAAGAGTTTAATGTATTTTAATTAATATTATACAAATATTTTAAACAAAACAAAACAGTTTTAAAAATAGGCTCATTTTCCAACTCCCCTAGAGTTAAACAGTTGAGTTTTACCGTTTTCGAATCCATTCAGCCGATCTCCGGGTCTGGCGGTAGCGCTTTTAGCTGTAGCTTAGCATAGATCATTGAATCTGATTAGACCGTTAGCATCTCGTGCAAAAATGACCAAAGAGTTTCTATATTTTTCCTATTTAAAACCTGACTCTTCTCTAGTTACATCGTGTACTAAGACCGACAGAATATGAAAAGTTGTGATTTTCTAGGCCGATATGGCTAGGAACTATACTCTCATTCTTTAACTCTAGGAAAATGAGCCTATTTTCAAAAATAGTGGAGTGTTCCTTTAACTTTTAATATTCCAATCAAATAATATTTATATCTATATTTTTCTCACATTTTTTAATAACTAAAATGTTTTTAATAACTGAAATAAAATACATTTAAATACTAAAATATTTTTTTAATTAAGGCTAAATATTAAAAATCAATATTTCTAATAAAAATGAGAAAAATCACAAGAATTTACTTAAAAAAAAAACTACAATAAAAAATTAACATATAAAAATAAAAGTAAACTCAAAATATTAATAAATACTATAATAATATAAAAATAATACTAAAATATCACTGGTTGTCATATGACCCAATCACATTGCATATGAGTGGCATCCAATTAATTATGTATATTAAATTAAAAGTTATTTTTACAACTTTGATTTAATTTCATGTAGAAAGATATTGATTTTTAATATTCCAATCAAATCATATTTATATATAAAAAAAAATCGCATTTCTACGGCGGCCGAGAAGTGAAACATCAGCTCCAGTGGCGCAGATGGATAAGCGTGTGTCACTGACTTTTTGACGCGATCGATCCGGGTTCGAGCCCGTCTTTTGCCGAACTTTTTTCCCCTCCCTTTTCAAATCTCGTATTAGCACTACCCTAACCCTACCCGATACTTTATTTTCAACTTTTAGATTTTTTCCTTAATTTTTATTGAAAATAAATGCCTTTACAATGTGATACGAGATTTGAAAAGGGAGAAAAAAAAAGTTCGGCAAAAGGCGGGATCGAACCCCGGTCGATCACATCAAAAAGGCAACGACATGTGCTTATTCATCTGCGCCACTGGAGCTGATGTTTTACTGTCACTTTTAACTAAATATAAATAGACACTCCGTATTTTTTATTCCATAGTAAGGGCAATTCATACAATACATTTAAACTGAGCTACTTTAATACCATCTCCGAACTTTCTACCACGATTCTGCTGTTCTTCGGCTGGTTCTTCCTGTATAAGTTGATTGACAGATGTCTCGTCCAGTCAGCGGTGAGTAATCCCAAACCAATGGCGCTGTCTCAAACTATACCTACCTCTTCCAGTTTGTCTGATTTGTCGTTGTGTTTTCTGACTTGTTATAATGTTTTCTGAATTGTTGTTGTGCTTTCTGAATTGTTATTTTGTTTTTTAGACTTGCATTTGCGTTTGTAATTTGTTATTTTGTTTTCAGAATTGTGATTTGTTCTGCACTTCTCTGCCACCGTACATTTCCAAAAAAATATAAAATAAATTTAATAGCTGAAATAAAATCGGTTTAAGTACTAAAATGACTAAAACTGAAATAAAACAGCCAAATATAAAAAATATAAATATTTATAATGAAAAAGGACAAACGTATATAACAAATGTACTAAAACTGAATTAAAACTAAAACTACACTAAATAATCAAAATATAAATAAATACTATAATAGTATATAAATGATGTTGTCACATGAGCTCATTACATTAGCATGTGACTGTATTGCTGAAGCGCTGTGTTGTGATCATGTCTCACCTTTGGGTCTCTGGATGCAGGTGTGCTGGTTGTCGGACAGAAGAAATCCGTCACGGCACCGACACTCGTAACTCCCCATCATGTTAACACAGATCTGCTGGCATCCACCGTTTCCTTCCGCACACTCGTCAACATCTGACGGAGACACAGATATTATAAATCTTCTCGCAATTCTGACTTTACATCTTGCAACTCTAACTTCATGTCTCGCAATTCTGATTTTATGTCTCGCAAAACAGTTATACATTTGTATTTTTCAGTATTCGCTGACAAATAGAAACTTCTAGGGGTGTAACAGCTGAAGCTTCTCACGGTTCGGTACGTATTGCGGTTTTGAGGTCACCGTTTCAGTTCAGCTATTCTTAATACTTAAAGAATACTCTATTATTTGTTAATACATACTTGAACAGTTTGCCTTAACTTAAAAAAAAGCTATTTTTTTTTCTAAATAAACATTTTAATTAAAATACCTATGTTACACCCAAAGCTAATTTATTAAAGAACAAATATTTTAAAATGTATAGCTGTATGCTCAACATTGTGTGCCAGAAATATAAATATTATAAACAGCACTTTTAACATAATAAAAAAGAACAGAGTTTGAAAGTAGCACGACATGGTAAAATCACAAATTATAGATAAATAGAAACAAAAGCAGAAAATAAGTGGCAACGGGTCAGAGATAGAATTTTCCGCAGGAACACGTTCAGTAACACATTACTGTCATTTACTTTTTCTGCAAATGTATGTATTATTATAATCCCATTACATTTAATGTTCTTAACAGAAATAAAATTCAAGGTAAATGTGAAGTTTGACAACTAATATAATATATATTAAAAAAACATTTCAGTAAATATACTGTAATCGCATTCCTTTCATGTAACGCGCATGGTTATGTCTTAAGTTTATCCGTGACTCGATTGCTGAAAAAATAAATTGTTTTGCGAAATAGAACCAATTGCATTGATTGATTTACTATTTGTGAGTGGTGTATCGCGGTTTTTCACTTGGGTTTCAATATTTTTTTACAACACTAGAAACTTCAAAAGAACAGCATTTATATGAAATAAAAATGTTTTGTAGCAGTATCATTGTCTTTACTGGCACTTTATCAATGTAATGCATCCTTGCTGAATAAAAGTATTAATTTATTTAAAAAAAAAAAAAAAGAAAAAAAACTGTATAATTCATATTTCAATTATAATAATATAACACATTTATTGAAACGAAACCGCAAAAATGGCTTGTTCAGAAATCATCACAACTACAAATGTGATTGTTTGTTGTTAACTCCTTTCACATGCAATGGGAGCAGCCAATCATAACAGAGCTCATTTGCATATAGAAGGTAGAGTGAAAAAGTCACTTTTTGTGCACAAAATCTATTTGTGGTGTTGATATGCGACACTTATTTTCGAAGAAAACCTCAGAAACAGACGCTGTTAGATCATAAAAAAGTAACTTGCGTTACTTATTTAAAAAAGTAACTCAGATATTCTCTTCATATCTGTGTATCGCATAAAAAGTAATGCGTTACTTTACTAGTTACTTGAAAAAAGTAATCTGATTACGTAACTCGCGTTACTTGTAATGAGTTACCCCTAACACTGTTAATCAGTACGTCCTGGTGATTTCATACAGTCTCTCATTCTGCCAATCTGTGAGTTTTGTCTGCATGTGTTCTGGCTTATAATTACTGTGGACCTGCTTGTGTGAACTTGCATCAGTTCGGTTGGTGTTGATGTTGTTGGCACCTCTGCTTTGCAAGGAAACGGCTTAATAAACATCCTAATTAACGACTTAATGAAAACGTACACATGCAAAGAGCTTTGCATGGAGGGTTAGGGGACAGAACACATGATTAGCTCAGTATAAAAACAATAGAAGTCAATGCAAAATCTCACCGTGATAGAAAAACAAAGCCGCATGTGTTGATAGACTCATCATCTTTTTGGCTTTATGGATCGTTACACAACCTGATCACTCAACAGCTGATTCAAAGCCAATCCATTTCAACCTGTAGTATGATGCTAAATGACACGAGGGCCAGTTTCCCAATTCAAACTGATCCTAAATCAACATGACGTCTGAATGATTTGATTATAGTTAGAGATTAGTCTGTCTTTGATTGATGCAGTTTTTAAGCCTATTTTAAAACTGTACCGTGGTAACTATGATATCACCAAAATATTATATTTCCTATGGTTTAGTTACTAGTGTAAAATCATAATAAATAAATCCTGGAAAATTTTCTTTAAACAATGTCAGATGCTTCAGAAACCTTCTGTCATTTTGTTTAATTTTTCGATGACAGTGGTGGATAATACCAAGTTTCCGCAGCTGTATTGTGGTAACAGTATCTGTATGGTGTTTTGGGACACTATACTGTAGTAACCATTTTTTTTTGTATGTTTGTTTTTTTTGTAAAGGCTCATAACAAAGTCAATAACATTCGTAAATGTACATACATCTTACACTTAGTTCAATTCATTTCCGGCTATGAAAATCTGAAGAGTCTCTGTCCGAGGGGCTACCAGGGATTTAGAAATTTTGTGAGCACTGGTGTGTGTGTGTGTGTGTGTGTGTATATATATATATATATATATATATATATATATATATAGATAGATAGATAGATAGATACATACATGCAGTTTATATATCAAGGATATTCCATCGATAGAGGATACATTTTATTGTATTCATAAATACAATAAATAATTATAAATAAATAAAGCTGAAGTTATTTTGAAATTGTACAATATTTCTCAAACAATCCTTCTGCCTTGTTATCATAAATAAGCGTACATTTAAATAAATAAATACTTAAACTAAAAAATAAAAAAATAGGTTTAAAATTAATTTAAAAAATAATTAACAAATAATTATAAATACTACATAAATAAATAGCAGTTATAATTTTCAAATTGTAAAAATGTTTCTCAAACACTCCTGCCTTGCTCTGTAAAAAAACAAACAAAAAAAATTTAAATAAATAAACGTAATAATAATATTACTACTACTGCTAACAAAAAATAATAATAAATTCACGTAAAATGTATACATTTATAAATAATAATAATAATAATAATAATAATAATAAATTCATATAAAATTAACAACAAATACATCAATAAAACATAATACAATACAATATAAAATTACTCATTTGATTTATTGCAAAAAAGGTAATTTTTGGCTGTCAGCTGAAGAGAAAATAGGCTGATAATTTGGTCTGAAAAAAAAATGAACAGAAACCTCAGCTTTAACAGAACAGACAACTTGAACAAACTTGGACGTGGAGAAAAAGTGGCATGCATGTGAAATGGTCTAGGTTTATACATACTTTATGTAACATAAATGGCAGCTGATGAAGGTTTCAGTCGACTAGACGCACACACTCTGTCTAATGCGTGATGAGAGACTTTAGTACCAGTGACAGCAGGTGTTGTGTTGAGTTTAACCCACTTAAAACTCAGCTGTGTCCTATGAGGGCACAACCCATCAAACTGACAAATGTGTGAGTGTTTGTTCTCATTCGAGACATTTCTGTGTGTCGTCTGCCTCTCTGAGGATGAGACTGCAACCTGATCTCTCGCTCAGATACGTCGCATCAGTGTCAGGCTGCTGTATACACAAGCTCACGCTTAATAAACCCTCATGCAAAACTAATTTTCTGTCTATTTGTCCAATGCACTGAGGCCTTGGGATAGAGTTTCCAATCTAGGCCATTTTCAGCCCAGCCGAGGGGGGAATATAACCATTTCCCAGCACTCGCGTTCACACACACACACACACAAACTCACATTCCCATCATTGGACAATTGTGACAGTTACCAGTTGCGAAGTTACCAGCATCAAATTCTGACTTTGCTGAAAGTAAACAAACAATATCATAGTTAATCTGAACATACTGGATGTTTATTATGCGTGTTGCAGGATTTTTAAACCATGATCACATCAGATGTCACAGAATTAGAAATGCCAAAAACAGATTTCATGCATGTATGTATATATGCATATCTATCTTGTGAATAAATACATTAACTGAAATAAATTAAAATCAATAATAATAATAATAATACAATTGATACAAATCAATTATAAATAAAAAATAATTACAAATCATTAATTAGATTATTTACAAATCAAATCAATAATAATAATAAAATTGATACAAATCAATAATAAATACAAAATAATTACAAATCATTATAAATGCAAAATGAATAAATTATTAGATTAATTAAACAACATATGTAATTAATTTGATCGAAAATTTCAACTGTCTGTTCTAATGATTTGTTATTAAATATTTTTGTAAAACATTTTATCTATCTATCTATCTATCTCTCTCTCTCTCTCTCTATATATATATATGTGTGTGTGTGTATCAAATATATCAAATACATTAACTGAACTCAAAGCAATAAAGTAATAATAACAATAATAATAATAAATCAATACATAAATAAATAAAAAATTAGATTAAACAATTAATATGTTTATTTTTATTAATATATGTTTAATGTTTAATTAATATTATTTAAACATAATTAATTTGACCAAATATGTAAATTGTCAGTCCTAATTATTTGTTAATAAACATTATAAAAAGAAAGAAAGATAGAGTAGCTTCCCAAACAGCTTGTACTCCATCCTGCATTGTTTATGCAATAAATAAATGTATATTTATATAATGAAGAAGAAGAAAATATTGTATATTTAATATGCGTTATGAAGGATTCTGAACCAATCAGATGTCATGTGGGTGTGGCTACAGAATGTATCAGAATTAGAAAAGCCAGAAACATAGAACATGCAAGTACGTAAAGAAAATGCATCATCTTAATATGATTTTTTATTATTGTAGCAGTAAAAATCGGGGCGTTGGGAGTTTCCATCAAGGAAATCAGGTCAGTTATTATCTGTTAATCTTATCTGTTATTCTTAAGGTGACAAATACGCTCTACAATATCATTAGTTTACATGAAAGAAAACAGATGACAATTTTACAACAATTTAGCAATGCTGAGATTGAAATGAGTTGCACTTGCATTGCATTATAAATTGCATATTGACACATTTTAGATCACAATGAGTGAAACTGACCATCAAAAGCATCTACATTT